CGAAATATTTCAACATCATTTAGGTTCCAGTTTTTGTGAGATCCGTGCACCCAGGGTATTTTGAACAATCCTCGTTCTCGATCAATCCACTGCACCCCTCTAATTTCGCCGGTGTCAAGCCTCTCAATCAACCAATCTTTGAAGCGCAATCGCTTTTTTCCCGAAGGTTTACTGTAATCGTGCATGATGTGTCGTCCTTCTTTGCCTTGTGGAAATTATATCCAGCCAGTCAACTGAAAAACCAAATTTTTTAATGGGTCAAATCTCGATCTTAGTGAAGTGTCTTGCTGCCTTCTCAGTTAAAACCGAAAATTCACTCCGCTTTCGCTTTCGCGAACTTTGTTTTCGTTTTTAGAGGTGAATTGAATCGCTCACTCGACGCTTTGCTACACTCGATGGTATAAACAGTGTTTTATCAGACTGCCTATATTAATACGCGCATGTTTGGTGAATATTTAAGGAGGGAAAGTCCCAGGGGTTTTTCCCTTTTTGGTGTTTATGTTCTCGGATCGCATTTTGATATCCGCCTGTCTCAAGATTGTCAACTAAATCATCTAAATGTTGGACATAGTATAGCAACTTGAAGTAAAAGATCAAATTTATCCGAGACCCTACGTACTTTACTTTGCTATACATGGAGATATTCAACAGTGAATCCCGTTTTCAAACTACCATACCAAGAAATAGATATGTTTTTTTCATCATACAACCAGCTGTTCAGGCAGGTTACATTAGCGTTACACAGGGGTTTTTCCCTTCTTCTAGGAACTCGTTTATTCAAGTCCTTAGAGACAAGTATAATATAGACAGAGAATAAGACAAATTGTTTTCGAAATGCTAGGAGTGGTTTTACTTTGCTTTCTGGAACCATAAATTTTGGTTAAAAATTTAAAACTCAAGTCTCAGCGATTCGGCTAAAACTGAGACAGACCGGATTTTTGCACTATTTGCAAACTAAGCTCTTTTGATTTATTCATTAACATCATCAAATAACTAAGATGATTCACGTGTTTTGCTTCGTCGGAAACTGTTCATAGCACACGCTCAAAATCTCCATCGATTTACATTTTTGATGAGAGAAAAGCGCCTTACTTAAGTCGACGAGTAAAGGATATCCTTCGAAATACAATTTTCATATACAAACGAAAATGCAAATACCTTATCATAAGAGCGACAAGCTGTGACCTGCTGGCCAATCGCCACTCAAAAATCCGGGGAATCCCCGAGAAATTGAAAGTTTACACACGCCAACGGTATGCTCTCAGCTTTACGTCGTTAGACAAATGTTTTTAATGATACCGCACCTCTAAATCCACGCAGTACAGCGACTTTTCCCCGCTATCGGGATTCTTGTATCCTTGATGAAGGTTAGATCCACACGAACGATTTGGAACAATGCCTATATTTACACCATCATTCCCGCCGATTTATTTTTAGTTATTTTGACCTCTTAGCTTGGTCACCAGCCCTTCCATTTCGTTTTGTTTTTTAATCACCCACTTTTGATAGCTTGACATCTGCCTCTCTGCCTCAGCAGATCACTTTCTCAGAACTTGATATATCGCCAGTAAAACATGCCATTTCATAAATGAAAATGGAATTCAAGAACAAAACAGTGAATTGGATTGTAGCGTTCAAAACAAGGCAGATTAAAAATCAGAAATCTAGAATGATTTTTGCTCAGATTTAAGTTTGATATCCCTCTTTCCCTTCATGTCTTCGCCTGATTAAGCCTACAGTAGTCGACCTTTCATCGTTTTGGTTGAGTAAATAAACATTCCCTGGCATTGCTTTTAAGCAGGGCTCAACTAATAACTAGGGGCCCGTTTCTCGAAGGTCCCGAAAAGGTTTCGCACCCGGAAAGCCATAGCAAAATCTCGAAGCTTATGATTACAGAGCTGTTTTATTCACGTATTCTTAACATGAACAGAGGTTCTCTTCATACAAGAAGTTTCAGGTGTATACAATTCTCCGTATTTAGATACAGATGAACTAAAAATGGCTTCACGGGCCCGAAAAGTTTCCGGGGCTTTCGAGAAACGGGCCCCAGGATTGTGTTCGCATAAATTTGGCAAAACACAATCAATCTAATATGCGATATCTGTATTTTCAGCACTGAACAGGGCTTAAAATTGACACAAAACACATTTTCGACATTCCGGTCTTTTTCAGGAACACATGAGAAGGATATTTTGTTTCGGGAGTGGGGGGGACAAACCCCTTTAAAACACACTGGATTAGGAGGTCTTCATATTTTAAATACATTATTGAACTGGATGTGAATGTCACAAAATTATTCAATCTTAAGGTGGCTCAAAACAGTTTTCTAAATTTTCGAAAATTTAAGGTGGCTCTGAACCCTACCTACAGAATTTTTTTAAACTTTGTCAAAAGTTGCGTCTTATCATACTTATCAAAAGTTAATAATATAAAAAATTTCACCGTGCCGTTTTTTAATTATAAGCTCCTAAAGCTGTAATTAAGGGTGTTTTTAGGAGATCATACTGTTGCTATGGTAACCTATTGCGTCACGAAAATGATAGCAAAGTGTTCAGCAATGACTGGGCAATATTTTGATGCTATGATTGTAGCATCAAATGATAAAGAGTGGTTATAACGACCCATCAAAATCTAAATGCTGGAAACTGTTTTGAGCCCCCTATAGTTTTACGACCGCATGCGCGCTAAGGACGACAGCTTTAGTAATCTGCGCGCGCTCAGAGGAAAACATCAGTGCTTTTCGATACATGACCACAGAAAGCAACACTGGCAAATAATTTTCTCGCGTTTCCTTCGGTGAAATTCTGTAACATTTTGCAGACTGGTAATAAGTATTTACTTCACTTAGAACGGGCATTTCTTTGAACATTTTTAAAGCCACAATTTTAACAGAGGATGATTGTAATAAAACACTAATTCATCGCTGCTTTGTGCATTTGAACGTTTAAGAGAACTGGGTGTAAAAACGAATACAAAACAAGCTTTCCAAAATATAACACTAGCGTACACAACAAGGGAGTCACCTCAAGGAATGTGACTGATACTAAAAAAATAATTATGATAACAATTTTTCCCAACAAAATAAGCCAAAGAGAAGAACGAAACGTTTTTTATCAATCAGCATTGAAAAATATTTAATTCCTTTAAGCTGCAAAATATTGATGTTGGTGTGGGATTGGGGTAATCCCCTAGTTAAATTGATGTTATTTATACTGCTGCGCAGACAAATTGATCAGTTCCCGTGGGAACTTGCTTCGTCTGCACATTGTTTTAAGATATATTTTGCTCAATAATTTTAAAGGTTAAAAATGCACAAAATATTCCATAGTTTCGCTTAAAGTTTCTGCAACAAATATACTAAAGAATATCGCTGACTGATTTGCCGAGCAACTCAGCCGATGCATCTTATCTCGGGTTTAGGTTTATATTTAAAAACAAAGCTTCCTTAAGGTGCCTCATTGTGGCTTTCAATATTAATAGATTGATTCGCTGAACGAGAGGAATATTGGTTAGAAAAGCAACTGTACTCAAAAGTTCTGCAGGAAATTTTTCTCTTGAGAAAGCATCAACCAAAATATGTAAATAATTCTTTAGTTGTACATTGATTTAAACGATTCATTTTCTGCTGACAAAGCACTTTCATACAATATGGCGAAAATCCACCACTCTGAGACGATTTTGCTCAACTTTGAATCCAAATACACATAGTTTGCCGTTGACCTAGGATCTAGAAGCTCATTTCAACTTAACTCAGTTCAAGGTCGCCGAGCATTTGTAATCCACTAACGACACTCGTTTTGTCTTGGGACGCAATTTGAATCGGATATAATGGACCCTTCTGAACCATGATGTTATGCTTTTTGTTAAACAATAAAAATGCAAAGTGAGAATGTATTCTAATTGTATTTATCTATACGTTATTAAATTATTAAATCGTTATTAAATTATCAAGGGAAAACTTGGTTTGGGGGCAGGATCATATAATCGTGAGATATTTCAGAGTATTACAAAAATGGGGTACTTGGTTTTCTATTTTAGTACTGATCAAATTATACCTTCTCCTTACATTATGTTATTATGTAGCTCATACTTCAGAGCACCATCATTTTTGGGATTTTCCAGCTGTACTTTCCGTTACCTTGGTTACTCTTCTTACAGGTGTCAATCGAGATAATGAAATAAAATCGATGTCTAGTTTTGAAATGCACCCTTCCTGGAAATAGTCATTCTAGATTCCATAACTTATCAGGATTTTGTTTTCTAATATTTGAGTCAATATTTGTTCATTTTGTCGACATTTTTGGACATTGAAATACGGCTGTTTAATTAATTAAAATTCATATCTCGTTCACACTTCGCACAAAAGTGGAAAGAAATGTGCACATTTTACAAGTAACACTATGGTGTCTCCTCGAATATGTTTAAACTTGAGAACACGCACAGATAATGATATGGAACTAGGCTTGTTTAGAATTTGGGAAAGGTCCACCCACGAAATCTTCTTCTTGTAACACTTATGTTGTAAGAAATATTTGACAACAACTTTTATCTTTAAACTTAGAGTGATCCTTAAGTTTTAATTGATGGAAAAAAGATTGTAATTTTTATATTTCTCGCGTCGCTTTATCTTGGTCAACCACTTGGAAATTGATAGTTAATATCTAGGAAGAAAATCTTTTTCTCGCTGGGTATAGTTTTGAAGGAAAATATGCTAAGTAGCTTTGCGCGTAAAGGCAATGGTGCTTTATGCGAACTGCGCATGTTGTGACGTTAGCATAAAATTAATGAATTGACAGTTTGACAATGATCTGATGGATCATGTGCTTGTCCCCATAAAAGAAACGTGAGAAGTGAACTCGTGGAAATTATTGTAAACATTCAAGAGCAACAGTAGAAAGATGTTATAACTACCGTATTGGAAGATCATTGGAAAGAAAAAAAGTGTAGTAACCAAAATAATGAGAGTGCTGGGGTGAGCTGCTAATTCACCCAAAGGTTGCTACAACATTTTCCCACTTTTTTTATTCAAACAAAAAAACAAACCAGCCATCGCTCGATTTTTCATGCCGAATTGAGTAATATACAAAGTTTCATAAAAATCTGCCGCAAACTCATGAAAATTATTTTACAATGTAGCTACACGCACAAAATATATATCGCTTCATATGAAATACAATTCCTTCTTCATTCAAAGTTGGGGGTGGGGGATCAGCTTTGGTTATGCAAACCGGCTATTTTGTTCTATTATACACGAAAAATTTTGATCGATAGCTTTCATTTGAATGATCGCACACAGCTTAGGTTATGTGCAGAGTACAGCATGTATTTACTGACCCTGGGAGTGATACGGTTGACTATTTTTGACCAGACAGGCTTTGAAAGCCAGTCAGGCGAATTAACTCTAACCAAAATCTCACAATACAAGATTACGTTATCTTTCTTTAAGAAAGCTAAGAGAGTCCAACGTTTGCAAAACAAACACTGTCTCCAATAAGAGACTGTTGAGCTGTGGTTCTGGCCACACATAAACAGTACGACATGTGTAGCTGTCGTAATAAGCACGTCATTTATGCCGTTTTTGAAGGACTCAAGTCAGCCTGCGCCATTTTCGATGGCATCGAAATTATTGATATTGCATGCATGGTAAGCAAAATCTTGTCCAATTTTATTTACTGAAAGTTGTATTCGTGAATGTATGTTTAATTATCTTTAGTAGTTTCATAGTGATTTCCTTCGTTTCGAGATGCTCCGAACAAAATATAACAGCCAAACTCTCGCATGTAAAGAAAAAAAAAAGGTGTGGCTGACTAGCTTGTTATTCTTAGTATGTATTAACATAAGTTTCCTTTAATTGATGAAGTTGGCTACGCTAGATCAATCCTCCGTGAGAGTTCTTCACAGCGACGTTTTCAAACATAACACGTGAGCACGTGAGAGTTCGTCATCGTTACTTAAACCCTGTCAGTGATGTCATCTCCCTAGTGGAGATTGGGTTCAAGCAAAGTGAAGCTGCGTACTCATTCCCATAATTAGATGAGCCCTCTGGATCAGCCGTAGTTGCGCTTTTCTCCGTTGGAGTGGAAGCATCGTCTGATTAATCTATGAGAGAGTAAAAACAACATGTTTTCTTGTGAAACAGGATTCAGCTATCGCCCAGTGTACAAGTATTCAGTCTTTGCGGAAAACCTAGATGGAATTAACTTGAACAATGGCACGAGTTTCTTGAAAATCGGCTAATTTAACCGAATCAAGAGCAGCACTTGAAAGATAAATTCTGAATATTTCTGATGACTCGTTCTAACTAGGAAGTGTGCCGCACTCCGGCCAAGATAGCCTGTAAACAGGCTCTATCTGGTAGGGTCTGACCGCGGCTGGAACGGGGCCAAGAAGGGACTGGCGCCTATCGTGTACTTAACCCAAATATACACCATTACTCACTATGTGTTTCATTTGGCTATTTAAGAAGAAAACATAATGTGAAAGAATTCTTCGCCTCATCCTCGACTAGAGAGCCTGCTCACAGGCTGGCCAAGACTGCCG